AGTATAATGTGATGTATGTTGGTTGGCTATTTACCACAGAGGAAAACCAGGGACTACTGGACTACTATTTCGTCCTAGTGTGCGGCTTCTCATTAATAGGCCCTAATGATCTAGCCAAAGATTTTAGCTAGAAGTGCATGGTCTCACGATAACCGTTTGATCAATAAATTATCAGGTTAGCAACAAATGGTATACATTTTCATCTTCACTCAAATCGTACAACAATGCGATAATCAACCAATTTCATTAAAAACTTGTTTTTCATTCATAAATTTGGATGAACTTCACTATTTACTCCTACCTATTAGAATTTCAGGTATTCATTTAAATGAAATCAATAATGAGCATATAGTAATTGGTTTGATAAAGTTAAAACTGGTCTCCAAGAACTATATATATATCCACGAGATTTTATTATCTAGACGATTCGATCTTATTTTTATTTTTATTTTATATGATAAACAATCCTTGATTCACATATTACAGTTTCTTAAATAATGTACTCCGCCTTAAACTTGGCCAATCTCCTTTTATGGATTATTAATTTATAATTGTAGAACCTGATGAGAAATTATTGAAAAGAATATTCTTCGTTCATATAATTGTGTTTTAATATGATGGGAATTTTTCAGCGAATACTCAAACTGTTAACTTTTTAATATATATGAGAAGGAAATACAGTCATCTATTACAATAAAATAATACACTTGGAGATAGATGGAAGAAAGTTAGGGGTGGACAAACCAAAACGTGGCATCAGTCCTTGAAGTCAGTAATTCTAGTCTAAGCCATGTTGATAGATGCAGACTATTTGGTTACGGTTCACGCAATTATTGTAAACAATGGATGGTAACTCTGGGTGACATGATTCAGGATCGATCACAGTGGCGTAGGTATATACACTCTTTGTCTTCCCTAAAACCGTGAGAATAATTTTACTTAATATCTTTTTTTCTAAAAACTAGTTCTTTCTCCGTATATCATATTCTTATATGCAATCATTCTTTTATATATTACTACCATTAAAGTGACTACTTCTATGAATTTGGTGTGGCATGTTGAACTGATGCATATATGTGCCTGGTCCTACATTGTAGCTGACTGAACAAACATCTTGATATTCTCTTTTAATCTGTCATGGTTTTTGATATAATAATTAAGAAGCATTGATCATAAATTTCATAATATAAAGAATCTGATTAATATATCAGTCTTAATAGTAAATAAAATGGTGGAAACCCAAAGACCTAAGACTATTTTAAATAATCGAAAACAATAGTGGGGTTATACTTCTCAAGGTTATTTTCCCTTTTTGTGAAAAAGAAAAGTCATAATACGAATTGTATACTAATTGAATAAGCAACATAATCAAAAAACTGATTAAAAACGATTATTTCTGGTAAATGGATTAATTAAGTAGGAAATAGGCAATTACTGTTATCATTGTAATCAACAATACTTGTAAATGCATTTACGTTGAATATTGGTTCAAGGTTCATGAACAACTGGCTTTAGAATCCGTAAATTATTTATTACATTGACAATATAACCTATTATTTATAATCAATGAAAGATCAAGCATTTCCGTTACACCCATTGCTACTAAATTTGCCTAACAATTGACTTATGATAATAAGCATATTGAAAACTCTTATTTATCTTTATTCATCCTATGAGACTGAGATTACTTGAAAGAAATACACGATTTCTAAACAGCTGTAATTTAAAACAAAATCAAAAGTTTGAAGAGTTTTAAATATGTTATATGAGTATTTGGCTAACGAATAGCATAATATATGTTGTTTACAAGAGTCAGCTGGATTATTTTCTCATAAAATCAGTGATATGTTAATGGGTAATAGAACAATTTACTAATGAAATGTAACATTTCTGCTACTTTTTTATTGACCTTGATCCACAATATATGTAATAGTACAATGAATTTGAACTCCAAATCTGTGGATCACATTATTTTCTAATTTGTCTCTCACGTAATTTATTGTGAATTATGATAATTCAAGCTGATATATTATGATAATAACCATAATTATAGTTTTTTTTGGGGGGGGGTGTTCGATTATTTTTTTCATTACTGAATGCTTTTTGTTCTGCGAACATGAAGATATATACGTTTTCTTTTACAGTTACCATATGATTTGTAGATTGATGAATTTAGAACCTTTTTTTCAAAAAAATTGATTTCTGTGAAGTAGTTTTTTATAAAATAAATTTTTTTATTTGTACTTTTCATCTGTATATTATTAACACTGTATGTAAGTGAGAAAAACAAATGAATAAAGTTGAACTGTTTGTTGAAAATACAAAAATTGAAAAAAGTTATCCAAAGGTATTTGGTTAAGCATTACATTTACTAACATATAAATTACTAATTCACATAATTGAACTTCCGTTTTTGTTATTTTTAAAAAAAATAGCTTATTATTATACCAACTGAGAGTACATTTTATGCTCCAACCAATGTAACTGCTTATAAGCTGACCCATTTTCTACAATCAAGTGTCTAATGAAATATATTTAGTTATTTGATTAAATGTTCCATAATAATCAATTTTAATAAATCAACTATGAAAATACTAAATCTCCACAAGCCTCTTCTGATTATAATTATATGCTCACTAGTAACTGACAGTGAGAGGTAATTCCTGGAGTTCTAGTGAGAAGCAGTGACCAGTGGAGTTCAAACCACGCCTGTTGTGAGATACCAACTCATTGAAGACAATTGATGGACGGTTGCTCAACTTCGTGGATTGGTTGGAGTTAGACATTAACACCATCGGATGCCGGCTCAGTGGTCTATTGGTTAAGTGATCTGGCGTGAGACTGGTTGGTTCTGGGTTCGAATCTCGCTAGGCGTGGTCGTGGATGCTCACTGCTGAGGAGTCCCCCAATAAGACGTAACGGCCGTCAAACAGTGCTTCCAGGTTTTTCATGGTGGTCTAGCTTAAATTGACTCACGCTTGCAACTATGAAAATCAATTTGCATTAAAATTCGTTTGTATTCGGAAGATAAAACCGTAAAAGTATTATTATAAGTCAATAGCATCAGTCATTAAAAATAGTTTTCATTCATTTGTTTCGTTTTACTTTTACCGACTGTTCACAATTTAAAACACATATGAAAAATAAAAATTAGGAATGTATATAATTCTATCAAATTTAGTTATTAAAGTAGCTGACTTGCAAACAATATTCCAAGGGTTTGTACTTCACTCTACATACTTTGAAATGAACAGTCTGGTAGCATTATTATCTTTCACGTATACAACATGTCCTAAAATTGATTACTTTTACCTCAAATCGATGAACTATTCGGAATTTTTCAAACGGATAATGGTGAATGATCTCACAAACGTGAAAACTCTGGAAAATAAGCAGTCTTTTTGGTTCAGATGATCGTCAGTAGATAAAACATCACAGAGGATTGTGTTAAAAACAAAAGGCATTGCTAAAATTCAATTGAGAAAAAACGTGATTTCAAATATATGTTTTAGGAAACGGGCGTAAAATAAGATATTATACAATTGAACCTTCAGATAAATGTATCGTTTCTTCCATCAAATTTAAAAATCCTGAACCTGATGCTAAATTAAAATGGAAAAAGTTATATGATGCCGTCTAATTTGTCATAGTTTACGAGCTGATATCCACCTATGATAATACTATTTTGAAAGACATGTTATTGTTAGCCTATATTCTGTCTTCAAAATTAAATTGAAATCGTTTTTATCCTTCTTCTTAGCACAATTCAGATGTTCATCCTACCAAACATTTTCAAAACTTATCAATTGTGATCAATAGTTTTCTGCCACTGTAAAATATATAGTACACTTTATCTTATATTTATACTCAACTAAGTAATGTACATAAATTTTTAAGGTTATATACCCTCTGTAATGCATTCAGGAAATAAATGGACTCATATTTATTCTTTTTCTGTACTAAGATTTAAAAGTGTTATGAAGGAGGAAATAAATAGCACGGTAATTTATCAATATTTTTTTAATTAGAGCAATTTATTTTACTGTAACTAATTACCCAATATCAAGTATTAACTAACTCAATGTGTTCATATTTAACTAATGACTACATAAATAATCCAGGTATAACTGATTCTATTTAGATATAGTCTTAAATTATTTATTGTATACAACAGACCTTAATCGGTAGTTTTACTTTTCCTCCTTGCATCAAACAAACTACAGTTTTTCGTGTGTCCATACTATACTTTATGGACGAACTTGGGTGATTCTGCAAGCAACCCTGGGAAATTTCAACTATTTATTAAACAATCAAAGTGTACGTATTATGAATAAATAATTTATTGTAGAAATTAAAAAATAGAACTCATTGAAACCTCTTAAATGGTTGACATGGTGATGAAAGTTCAAACTAGAGTAAGGTCTAAGAATATGACAAAATAATGCTTCGCAGCCATAAGGTGGAATAATAATTCAGATAGTTCATTGAATCGAAAACTCAAAAATGTTTAAATGACATTGAAAGAAAGTTATATTTTCCACAGTCAAACTAATTGCTACCTCATCATTACATCAAGAACTGCTCAGGATCGTTTCAATTATCAGTATGGTGTGTGAAAATTATGTAAGTTATCAAGAATAAAGGGTTTTACATCCACAATCCTACAGGAAATTGAACCCAAGACCTTAAGGTCTCACGATGAGTGCTGCAACTTCATATTATTTAGTTTGGTCATTTTTATTAAGTTTTAAGTGCCCTGATTGCTAATTATCGGTAGATTTTATTCAGTTCTAACATTATGATTTAACAAGTTGCTGTGTATTCACAATTACATTTTAAAACTTGTGCGAAAATCCGAGAGATACTATCTTGAAACTGATTGGTTCGTTCAAAAAGTACAGTCTCACCGACATTAATATATTTTATGTAATTACTTAATTGGATTATGTTGATTCCTTTTCATTTTATTCTTTTTTTCAAAAACAATGATTCAAACGAAGAAAATACTGACGATGGTAAATCGAATAATAACCAGCATAAAAAACGTGTCAACTATTTATGTGGACCTGATGGTAAATTAATTGTCACTACTGCTTTAGCACCAGACTATGATCGAACAATTCAGTAAGTATTGAACTGAACTGAATTTTAATGTCAAATTAGCATAACCCATTACGATCATTTGCTGGACTGAAATCAATTAACAGATTATAATAGACCCACTTAAGTATTAAATAATCGTTTAATTCAGATTTAACCCACGATATGCTAAAAAGTATTATACAGAAATTATTACTCCGTTTACAATAGTTCTATCAATAATTTTGATTGATTATGATGAATGTCTTTATAGTGAATCGATTTTCAGAAACAATCCTTTTTAAAGATCAAAAATTTAGAGCAGGAAATTGTTTATATGTTTATATTATCTCTTTTTTAACTCATAAAACACGATTTAAACAAGTTATGCATATTTGAAGATAATTTCTCTATAAATTATTAAATAATTAGAATGTAGTAATAATCCAAATAGAATACCCGGCACTATTAAGGTTAACAGACTATCAAACACTTCCTGTTGAATCAAAATAGTAGTATCATTGGAGATGGTTTAAGTTTTCATTCGCTTTTTTTATCTGTAATAAATTAGTCGCATCATAGAATGGAATAATAAGATTTATATGACTGCCAATTTTGTTCGAATATAACTTATAGATTAGAAAAAATAAACTTAAGAACTCTATCGCTTTGAAAACCTAACTTCGAATAAAATTACTTGAACCCAATAAAAAAAGTCGTTTATCAGTAAAGAGTTATATAGATTGTTAAATTTCATTGAAATCATGAACCGATCAATGATAGACTGCCATTGAAAACCCGGAAGCGCCAGGTGACCATTTCGTCTTAGTATGAGACTCCTTAGCAATGTGCACCCACGATCTCACACGCAGGACTCAAACTTGTCACATTTGGTCGTGCGCAAACGCGTGTGAGATCTAAACTCAGTTAACAGCAAATTCATGTAAAATATGACATTTTTATCATCGTATATTCATAAATATATTTGTACTAAATAAAAGTTTTCTTTCTTCAAAAATATCTTTATTATACACATACACAGTATCATTGTTTTAAACCAATCCAAATTTACTTGTCCAAAGTATTATTACTTGACCAAAAAGCTAACTATTGATCAGTACAACAACAAATTGATCAAAACAATTAAAACTTGATCTTGAATTTTCTTTAACTATACAAACAATCCTATGTGTATCTATGACGTATTAATTAAATTATGACAATCCTGTCAAATCAGTCCCAACAAAGCAATAATTTATATGTTGTAATCAGTTGTTAATACATAAGAAAAATATTGATTTATTCAAACTATTGATTAGTGATCTTTCTTTTTCTCATTTTTGTTTAGTCAATTTAAAGTTTCTAGTAAATTTATCTGCTTATTTTACTAAGCCAAATATGATAAGAGTAACTTCAGAAACACATATAATATTGATACATACTTGAAGTTAAGTACTTTCGCTAGTATATTCAAAAGATATAAGTTTGCTAAAAAAGGAGAGATATTCTTTTCTAATTAGTTTCTAGTCAAAGGTTCTGCACTAATAATTACATTTATCAACTTAAAGACAAAACCAATACCAAGTATTAAATACTAGTAGATTAGTTTTTTACTAAATTTCCGAAAACCTGTTTAGAAACCAGGGGTCAGTTAGTAAGTCAACTAATTACAGTTTAATTAAAAACAAGATTATTACATAGTGAATCAGTTACTACAACTGGTTGTGTAAGTATAAAGAAGGAATTGTGTAAGTTCGAAAAAGAGCAATTGAGAAGTGTAGACATAATTAGATGGAAGATCAGAGTAAAAATCAAAATACTGCACAAAATATTTTCTGTACACAATGAATACGTTAATTTATGTATATTCCTATAGGTTCTACTACATGATGTTAGTTCGACCGAACTCTAGAAATAATTATGAAAGTTAACTTGGTATCAAAACTATGGTCAATATCGACTACATGTTCTAGCCTTTCGGTCAACAACGAGAGATAATGTTAATAACTCCAATATAAATAGTTTTACACTATTAATTGTATTTCCTAAACCAACTAACAAACATTTTTCTAAATTATATAGTTATTCTAACCTTAATGAGTAAATCAATAAATGAAGTTACGAACATCAATAACGCATATTCAATCACTTCTTACTCTGATGTGAAAAACTAATCAGAACAAGAATAGACATGGATTAGTCACATCTATGGTATCAGTTCATGAACACAATTTTAATCATTTCATATAAACTGAATTTCAGAGTTCTTAAATTATTTATTTATTCTTAAGTAATGTCGTGGATACAAGTTGACTTGAAAAACACCTGTAAACACCAAACAAACTCAATGTGTAGCTTAATCTAATTTATTACACCTTATTATTTGGTTCATCTAAAATATTTTCAGTTGTCACGTCTTTTCAGATATCACAATAAATATGTGTAGGTGTGCAATTAAAATTACCAGATTCGAAAATCGATTGTGTGAGATGCATTTTTATGCATTTATTTTGAGACATCTTTGATTAATTCACCAAATTCATCAGTAGGACGATATATTACGACATCTTAGACTCAAAATTCTACTTACAAATTCATAATATTTCATCATTTTCCAAGTCAGCTAATAGATACATCGATAGATTGATTTGTGCAATTATTGTCAGAATGAATGAATATATTTGTTTCTACATTGGTGTTTTAATGTCAAGTATCTAAGAAAGGAACCTGTTTTTCACAATTATCTAACCTCACATTTAGTTGTTTGTTAGTAATTTTAAACTGCTTTAACCTGTGATGAAAGAACTTGTAAATATTTCGGTTCCGTTTTGATTTGGTCTACATCAGATAAGTATTATTGTTATTTCTTTTAGCAAGAATTGTTATTTTAATAAAATGTGTAGTGATATTTAGCGGAATAAATTGTGTATGTGTGTGTGTGATGTCTGTTGTTTTAATGACTGTCAGAAAACTGAGTGAATTACACAAGATGCATGATCAGTAATGACTGAATGTTGTCACTTTTTATCTGAATAAAGATAATTATTTTCCCCAGGAAATGTTATTTGAAATAAATTCCCATCACTTAGTAGCAATTCGATGAATGTGACACTGAATGCGAAGAAAGTAAGCTTCATTACTAGAAATCGGTAATAGCGTGAAGAATTACCCTAAAATCTAGTCGATAATTATTTCAAACTTCGTACATTGTTGAATACGGGAATGCGCAGAACACTTGTTTCGTTAAACCATGGGACTACATAATAATCCCTATTCACAACTAAACAACTCGTATTGGTGTCATGCTTATATTGAGTGCAAAGTTAACGGATTCATCTTTTTTCCAAATATTTTCTGTACGTATTGATCAGTGTATAATATTGAAAAAGTTATACGAAAACTCATTCCACTTTTCTTACTCTACAGTTATACTACAACTGATACTGTACTAATTCACAATGATTTTCACTACAAATCAAGTTATATTTTGCTCACATACTTGATCAAAGACTAAGTTTGAGATAAATGTGTTCAAGAAATTACTTTGCTTTCTGAAAATGTACAGGCAAAGTGATGTGTAGTAAGCTTTTCTTATGTATCACTTAATAAACATTTCATTATATTGTTTATTCGTTGGAATTGGCTTTTATAATAGTATATTTGTGTATCGCTGTAACCAGCTTCATTGAAAATAGCAGTTCCCTTGGAAATACATATAAATACATACATCTACGGTGGTTGAAGGTGATCAGCAGGCAGTTATTTTTTCGATGGGGCATATCTATGATCTGGAGAGGTCGAATGTTACTTTACTGCAGAACTGAACTTCGTATCATGTAGTGTTACTGTCACAAATGTTACTAATGGGTTGTTTGAGCTGTAACGGATTTCTTTGTTGGAGTGTGATATTTTTTACTGGTCTGTTACTGATCATCATAATTAGATATCATAGGCTTATATACATTACACTGAATTAAATAAAATAAACTTATTCAAGTAAAAAACTCTATACATGTAAAACTCGGTTACATAAATGATCAGTAGATATTTATTTTGTTTAAATATATATAGTTAGGCCCTGATAAAATTTTGAGATCATGTTTTAATTCACTGTGGTATTTGCGTAATATTTGATGAACATCACATTCTTTAATATTCATTTAGTGTATTACTACTGTGGTGTGACATGCAGCATTCATTTCTACTTATTTCAACGAAAAATTCATTTTTATATTATCACTATTCCATTTTCATGATATTCATTAATTAATCATTATATTTTTGTATGATGTGTATATAAGCGTATTTCGTTGATAAGTTGTTACTATCTGCTTTCAATCAGCAATTAAAATCTTCCACTCTCATCAGTTTTTATTTTTTTACCTTGTGCTATGCAGATCTCGTTTTTTTCTTATTCCAAGTACCAGCTGGTAATAACCGTAATACCTTTGATATTTTTATAAATTCACAAAACTTCTTGTCAGTTATTATCGATTACATTGAATGACAATCATTACATTGTACTTCAGAATGAAGTTGATAATCTGAAGAGTTAGAACTCAGTTCTGTAATATACAAACATCATAATTACTTTATGATTTATAAGTCTTAAATTTGAACCAACGAAAGGGATGTACATTCATACAATATTCCTCACAATGGGACAAAACTGTTTATCCAGTTCAATATTTCTCTACGCTTTGTCAGTTTAAATAGATCAAGACTAAAACAAGAAAAACGTACAAAGATTAAACTTTATCCATACATACACATACACATGTTATAGCATGCATATGTAAATACATTTGTAAACTATGGATAAGAACATTATATATGCTCATAGATATGTATATATACTTACAAATCAATCATCTCATATTGTCTGTCTCAACAAATAAGCATAATTTCAACTTTTTAATATATTATATGTATAAATAATGTGCAATAAATGATGAGAATACGGTTGTGTGAGTGTGTATTTATTTAGAATCTACGCTGTTTGTTTACATTTGTTGTGTATTAATAGATAGTAATTTATTGGTTTC